GGCTCCATCGGAGATGATGGAAATGACACTGCTTTCTTTAATAGTCCATAATATATACTCTACAATTCATGTCAAAAAGTGGATTGCAATCTTATTAGACTTGTAAAGTATCATAACCAACAGATTTGCACAACAAATTAGACCTACTAAATATTACACACAACAATAACAACAAAATTAGGATAATAATAATAATGAAAATGATGATGATGAAATAATAATAGTAGTAATGATGATGATGATGATCACGAAGATGATGATGATCACGAAGATGATGATGATAATAACAAGGGTGAATTTCCAAAAATGTCTCTTATAAAAATGAGGGTTTCCACATATAGTCCAGTTTGCAAAAGTATTATATTATGTTCCTCTATATTTAACTATTACCAAAGAAGTCATTTGAGCACATATTGGTGGTCCTATATATTTGGAGACTATTCCACGATAAGTGTTCAAAAGGACTTTTGTGGAATAATTCTCAAATATAACATATCATGGGTATAGTACTATCATGAAGTGGACTGTATGTACAACCTCTCATGTTATAAAGGACATTTTTGGGAATTCACTATAATAACAATAGCAACATCATGTCAGCTGCCAAAACTTGTTCACAATAGACACTTTATGTGCCAAAAAGAAAACAAGAGAGAGTTACATTGTATTACTATTTTTAGTATTAAAAAGGCTTTTTTTAGACAGATGTAGTATGATTTTGCATTGAAAAGAGAGGCCTTACTCTTTTAGGATGTCCTTGAGCACAGTGCTTTTCCCTGCTCCCATGCCACCACCCATGAAGAGAAGCACAGGGCTCCTGTCCTTGTGAGCCATAGGAACCATCACATCTGTGCATTGTGAATCGTCAGCACCAACAAGTCCTATGGCTTTCATCTCCTCAACTAAGGTTGTAAAGACTCTTGCAACCTTTAGATTCTTGGTCACCCTCTCAAATCTCTGCTCTCTTTAGATATTTATATATATCCCATAAAAATGAAATATCTAGTCATCATAAAATTAAAATAACATCTGTCCATTTAAATTGGGAATCACCCAAAGTTTCTTTCATTTACAGAAGACTATAACAATTATGGAATCAAAATATATTTAGAAGATTTAAAAAATATGCTTATGCATTAGCTTCCAGAGTAGAATTTTACTATGGTAAGTGGTGATACTATGAAATTAATTGGCATTCTCTGAAATCCTAGTAACATTTGAACAGTTGTTACTCTAAATTTAAACCGCGGGCTTATCATCTTGGAAAAATTGATACTTATAATCTCATGTTTGAGCGATCAAACAAAAAAATCCCAGGATGCACTTTTGGCATAAATTATCCCAAGTTGTAATGTGTTCACATCAATAATGCCAACCGTAACTCCATTAGAGTTAACCAAAATTGAATAAATATATCTTAACCATAAAACTTTTAACTCGGGTATTGTACTTAGGCTAGATATCAAAGTGCCAGCTTATTTGGATAACTCTGGACTATAAGATAAAACTAATATCCATAGAAGCTAAAAAAGCTAAAAGTTCATACCACTATTACAAGATCTAAAAGTCCAAATTATTTCTTTTTTTTCTTTTCACGTTTTTTTAATTGTCCTAAAATTGACTTCCCATCAGCATTTTGGGAAATCTTTATATTTTCCACATTATTTCTCACACTTCTAAATTAACCACAACCACACAGTTTCACTTTCTTAATATGAGTGCCAAGTTGACTTGGGTAAATATTAAGAGAGTGAAATACGGAGTAATATTGTTCTAGGAAAAAATACCCAAAATGATAACAGGAAAATAATTTTAGGACGAATGGAGTATAAAATTATTTTTAAATTTTTAAAGACACTTGAATTACAACCCGAGCCAAAAGTTATGTCTAAAATATGTTTTCCTTTTCACTTTTGGCCACATATAACGATACCTACCAGATATGGATGGATTTATAACAGGGTTATGGACTTATGGTGAAAGCTAATGGGGTGAACCAGATTACTACGTATAACCTGGGATTACGCATGTTAGATGTGCATTTTGTGTTGATTGTTGTTCGGTCATTCAAACGAGGGATAATTTGTAACAATTTTTCCTTCTTTAAAATCATTGTAAAATTGGAACAGTTATTCTTTATTCAAAGTGTACGCCTATGATCTCGGCACAAAAAGGAATTAATGAATATGGAATTAGAGACACCAACACACATACCTAGTAGCTGCCATGACAATGTTCTTCAGCTTCTTTTTTGGCTCAGTATGATCAGCAGCATTCAAAACCTAGAAATAAATTGGAACAAATAGCTAGGGGCGATCATATTTCACTAAGAAAGACTCAGACATGATTTAGCTGTTCACTTTTCCTTTTTTTAGATGTACAGAAATTAATTGTCCACTTACCTTATTTGGTAAACTAATGATTGGGAAATGGGAATCGCCTTATTAAGTGTGTTTCCAACGATGGAGAACAAGCCAACCAATTACAATGCCTTTTTTTGTCAATTCACCACAATCTTTAAATTTGAGAGGTTGGGACAAGTGAACAACTAAATCCAATGGAGGATGTACTTAATAACAATCTCTGATTCTTAATAAATCTAATGTTTTGATCAAGTTTTCGGAACTCATTTACCTGACTGATCATATTAGAAGCTTGGCTCCAATGAAATGCGAAGTAACTAAGGATCAATCTTTCAAGCTCTTCCACAAGCTTTATGAATAGAGAATCCGCACCCGCTTCAGTGGCAAAGAAATTATATATTTCTTCCTCGCATCCTTCTGATTTTCTTATATAATCAGAAGCTAATTTACATAAGGTTGGGCATTCTCTCTTGTCTGCAAAACCCATTTGCCTAGCTGCCACATTCCCACACAACACATCACACACTATTTTAAAACAAATGTTTAAAAACAAATTTGGTAAGAGTCATGGGGCATACTCAACCCTGTCCCAAACTAAAGTACCCATTTGTTTTTGGGTTTTAGTAATCTAATCTTTTCAACAAATTGTACATAATAAACACAAGGGATAGGGGGGAGTATGCCCTATGACTCTTACCAAATTTGTCTCCGGTGCACATTATTTTCTCACTATCGTTGATGATTTTTCACGGGCTGTTTGGGTTTACCTCATCAAAACTAAAAGTGAGGTTACGTCATGTCTGAAGCGTTTCTTTGCAATGATTCACACTCAATATTCCAAAACCATAAAAGTCGATCGGTCGGATAATGGGACTGAAAAGATTAGATTACTAATGAAGTGATGTGACAACGAAATTAGATGAATTGGTCATATTGTTTTATGTAAGTGCCATATCGGACAAAATACGGCCCTTGATTGTGAATATGGTCTGTCTTTTTTTTTGGAATATGATTTATCCTTTTCTCTCCAAGTTTTTCTTCATGTCATTTATGTGTATGTGTTTTTCCTAATATGGCACTTACATAACAAAATATGAATAAATCATAGAATTTGGCTATCGCGTCACTTCGTATGCGATTCAAATAGGCATTAGCTCATTGGTGGTACATTTATATCAAATAAGTTGAAAGTATGACTAACTTCCTTTTATTTATGAAGTACAGATTATGATCCGTGTAAGCATAGTATAGATTATTGGAATCTAACCCTTTGTTTATGCAAAAGTTTCAAAAATGTGAAACTGTGTGCTTGAGATTAGTGCAGATGAGTGAGAACACAATTTATTCCTTAAAGAGAAACAGAAAAATTATTTTAGGGAATTCCAAAAGGAAAATAAGGTTGTGTTTGGTTGGGGGTAAAATATTTTCTTTGAAGAATATTTTCCAAAGGAAAATAATTCCAAGGAAAATTATTCTTCAATCATATAATCCATTTTTTGGTAGGAAAATATTTTCCTTCCACTAATGTCACCAAACACATGAAAATGGAATGAAAATTTTCCTGGAAAATATTTTACGCCCAACCAAACACAACCTTATTTTCATTTTAGGACCAAGGGAATATGATACGGTAAACTTGAAAAATTAAATTCCAAAGTAAATTCCAGTTTCATTTTGCTCAATTCTGTGTCCTATAACAAATATCAACAACATCATTACATGAATGCTAATTAATTTTCTAAAACAAGTTAGCTCTATAAATAGATGTAAGAAAGCTTATACGGAATCCGGAAAAAAAATCATTACGAAAAAGGACTTGAAAGTAAAATAAGAAAATAATGATCCAGATTGATATCTACCATTATTACCTACATATTGAGGAAACCTCTCAAACTTGAGTATCTTCCCCGAATCAGAGAGTTTAATTCTGGGTACTATTTTCAGGTCCCTGATTTCCTTGATACGAAAATGCATGACTGCAGCGAAGATTAATCCCATGGAGGAGGCTACAAGGATCTGGGTACATGTTGGCTTTGTATGGTATTCAGAGGGTGAAGATCCAGCAAGGTATTTGATCAAATGCCCAGAAGAAGATGAAGAACAATGGAGATGAGGGGGAGAGTGTGACGAACCCATGGTGTTTCCCTCGGTGATCATGCACGCATTAATGTGAGAAATTGTTCTTGTGTGTCACCATTTCTTGAAGAATGTTCGAACAAGAACGAACGAGAAAATGGGGATGATGGAAATTGGTAATTCAAATGTTGTTTCCTTGGGAATATGGAGAAAATAACGAAAGATTGTTGAAGTTGTTAAGAAAAATATAAATTGTTCATTTATCAATTAATTAGGTCATGCTCCATCATAAGTTGCAGGAACAAATTATTTGTAATAGTGTTAGCACTAAATCTCTCTACTATAAATAAGAGGCTTAGGATCCCTGTAAATTACCATTAAGAATAAGAAGAAGAGTGAAGAGTTAATAGAGAGAAAAAATCAGAAATATATTATATCTATTCTCATAATCTTTGAGTAGTTTTTCTCTCATTTTTAACACGTTATCAGCACGAATTTGCTCAAAATCCTAGGAAACCTTGTTCTTCTCAGAAGGTATATTTATTTTATTTTCTTCATAAACAAACTAAAATATTTTCTTAAAAACTATAAGAAGTATGCTCTGTGATTGCCCAAAGTTGGGATCCTTCACATCAGAAACTTATAGTTATAAAAATAAAATTAGATAAATTAAAAAGGAATAAGCTTCCTCATAATTGCAGAAAATCACATTTTTGAAAAAAAAAGGGTAGAATTTAATATGGAGTAGCTAAAATTGAAAAACAGAATTAATTTCATTTTTATAAACTACTTTTGAATTCTGCAAGCTTAAATGTAAAAAGTATAATAATAATTTAGATAAGAAATATGAACATCTTACCTGTAAAAACAATACTCTGTATGTATGCTTCTTCAAAGAAAAAAAATTCCTATCTTTATTTTTTTTCTCCTGCGTGCCATAGTAAAAGAAAGAGATGCTCTCAAAAACCACATTTGCTTGATAATAATAATACTGAGTATATCTTATACGGAGTAAGAATTGATGAATTATAGCACTATGGGAACATGTTTTGTCTTCTTCCATTGTCCATTTTGATTCCTTATGTACTTGCAAGTATTTTACCCCATACATTTTGTTTTTCTTACATATTTTTTTATACGAAGTATTATATAATAATAAAAATAAAAATAATAATAATAATAATGCAATAAAACATCTTATTCCTTTATTTGTCTTCTTCTATTTGGCTTTGAATAATTTTTGCCAGAAAATTTAAATAAGTGGGGTATCATTTAAAATTATCAATTCACAATTTCATACACAAATAAATATACACCGTACTTGTTCTTTTAAATTTGAATACTCTTGATTGAGAATTTTTTTCCGTACTCACCAATCTATAACCTATAAAAAAATATCTCTATTAAAAAAAATATTTTTTAAATTCTAATCTCATTTTTTTTCTTTCATTTTTAAACGTACCACCTACTTAATAACAATATAAAATAATAAAAAAAAATCTAATAAATCAAAATTTATTATTTTGTAGTTTATTAAATGGCCAACATCACCAAAAGAGAGTTCGACATTCTTGATTTATCCGGTCAAAGGTACCTAGAGTGGAGGGTTGATGCCATCGCTCACCTCAAGGCAAATGACCTAAAAAATACAATTGCTGAAAATAATACGGCAACATCTCAGCAAAAGGCAAAAGCCATAATTTTCCTTCGCCACCACCTTCATGAATGTTTAAAATCTGAATATTTATTGGTGGAAGATCCGAAGGAATTATGGGATAATCTCCAAGAGAGATATGGACATCAACAAAAGGTCTTACTACCAAGAGCTCAATATGAATGGATCAATTTAAGATTTCAAGATTTTAAATCTGTTTGTGACTATAATTCTGCTATTTTCAAAGTCACGTCCACATTAAAATTATGTGGACATAATATCACTGATCATGACATGTTGGAGAAAACTTTTTCCACCATGCATATATCAAACGTGATATTACAGCAACAATACAGAGAAAGGGGCTTTAAAAAGTATTCTGAGTTAATCTCAGTATTACTTGTTGCTAAGCAGAATAATGAGCTCTTAATGAAAAATCATAACATGAGGCCCACCGGTTGTAGCCCTACAAATTTTGGCCATCCTGATCGTGGTTCAGCACCAGAATCAAATGTTATCCAAGGTGGTGCTCGCGGACACTTTAAACGTGGACGCGGAAATAACCGCAACAAAGGGCCAAATAGGGGCTATAAAAATCCAAATGGATCATCCTCCAAAGAAAAGGGAAAATTCAAACCATCACAGGCTAAAACTTATGAAAAGCCAAAACCAAGTGGTGAATGCTACAAATGTGGCATAAAAGGACATTGGGCGGATGAATGTCGAACAGCAAAACATTTGGTTAAATTATACCAGGCTTCCACAAAAGGAAAAGGGAAAAATGTGGAAGCTAATTACGCTGATGATATCAATCCAATTTTGCCTAAATTTGACGTGTCCGATTTCTACATGGATGATGCTGAAATTGGTGATGAAGTGACCTTTGGTGGAACTACTACTATTTAAACATTTTCATTTACTCTGTTATGGTGTGTTTACTTTTTAAATAAATGTTGGAAATTTGTATTTTATTTTCATGTGTGCTTGTATTATTATGTCTCTTCTAAAAAAATAATGATAATAAAATGTATGGTATTTGTGTTAATTATCTTTAACTTATATTTATTTATATATTTATTTGTATTCAAGATATGGAGATAACTGCTTATGGCTCCAGTGGCAAAGAACAATGTCTAATTGACAGTGCCACAACGCACACCATTTTGAGAAACAAAGAATATTTTTCTCAAATGACATTGATGGAAACTAATGTCAATACAAT